TAAGCAAATGCCATGACTTCGTTCTTCTTTATGGCCAAGTAATACTCCATTGTGTATATACACCACGTCTTCTTTAGCCATTCATCTTTATCCATTCATTTGGGCACCTGGATGGTTCTATATCTTGGCTATTGTGAATAGTCCTGCTATAAACAGTGATGTGCCTGTATCACTATTATATACTGATTTCAGTTTTGTTTTTTGTTTTTTTTTTTAAAATACAGAGAAGTGGGATAGCTGGGTCATGTGGTGGTTCTATTCCTAGTCTTTTGAGGAACCCAAGACTTATTTGCCCAGCATAACTGATACATAGTATCCTTTGTTGCTATTACCTATTTTAAAAATTATTTGTTTATTTATTTTTGGTATTAGCCCAGGAACACTTTACCCCTGCTACATCTCTAGTCTTTTATTTTTCATTTTGAAACAGAGTCTTGCTAAGTTGCCCAGACTGACTTTGAATTTGTGGTTCTTCTGCCTCAGTCTCTTGAGTTGCTGGGATTACAGACATGTGCCACCATGCTCAGCCTTCCATTGCCTTTAAACACACACACACAAACACACACACACACAAACACACACACACCCACAAAACTACTTTTTAACAGATTTTTTGTATCATTTCTCTTTCTTCTTGAATTTGTATTTCATTCTATTTCTCCCACAGAATTTCATCTATATGTAAATCATTTTAACCCTCAAAGTCTTTTATTGATCATATTTCACTGCCACAGAAACATGTAAAGAAATTGAAAGAGAAATTTTTTAAAATGCCTATAGTCATAAACCTCTCAAAGTTCAATTTTTATTCTGGGTTGTTTTCATTACAATTACAGATTATATTGCAGTACACAATCAACCAAAATATTCAAAATATTGTGAAAATTTGATAACTAAATAATAGCCATTAAAAGTGAAAGTTTAAATGAGGCAGGTGATCTTTTTAAAAAACTGATTTAGGGTTGGAGCTGTAGCTCAGTGGTAGAGCTCTTGCCTAGCAAGTGTGAGGCACGGGTTCAATCCTTAGCATCATATAAAAATAAATGAATGAAGGCGTTCTTTCTGTTTACAACTAAAAAAAAAATTTTTTAAATTGATTCAACTGGAGATATAACTCAGTGGTAGGGTGCTTACCTATCATGTGCAAGGCCCTGTGTTCAGTCCCTAGCACTGCAAACAAACAAACAAAAAGAGTTATAAAAATTGATTTACATATTCTTAGATTAATATTATTTATTATTAGACTGAAACAGAGTTTCTGCAACAATTCTAGCTCAATTTTTCCTTTACATGTAAGCAATGAGAAATCTCATTCATATATTGAAAAAATAGAAGTCAGGCAATGTCATCCAATACGCCTTCCAAAATATGTGTTAATATAATGTGGTAGAGCGTCCACCTCACACGTGTGAGGCACTGGGTTCAATCCTCAGCACCACATAAAAATAAATAAAGATATTGTGTCCAACTACAGCTAAAAAAATTTTTTTAAATGTAAATCATTAAACTTTTTAAAATTTTTCTGTTGGCTGACAATTAGATTATATCTTTTAATCATGTGAAAGAACTTGTACTTCAGCTATTATACTAATATGCTTTCTCAATTGCTAGGCTGTGAATCTAAAATTTTTACCAAAACTTATCAAATTGTTATTCATTATATTTTTATTCTTTCAGTTATAATGTGATGATATATCTGACTGAACCCACTGTATTCAGAAAGAATTAGGAATATAAAATGTTTATATTTTATCTTAGTATTCCTTTGTTAATGCACTTTTGTTAAAATTATTTTCTATTGCCACATGCTTTAAATCTATTTTTATCAAATCCTTGGAGCTTCAGATTACACTCATTCAGTTTATGGAATATATCTAATGGGTAAAACCAGTCCTCACTCTTAAGGTAGATGCATTAGGTCTTTCTTTGTGGAAAGAAATCAGCTATTTTATGGTCTATTTGGCTTCTGGTTATGTGAGTGTGTGTTTTATTTAATGACATCATAACTGAGCTGGCTGTTCCGTTAATGTTCACATTTCTCTGACTTTACAGCTTCTTGTGTCCTGCTGGCATTTCTGAAGGGCAATTATTGTCTGGAAATTGAACAACAAAATGAATTCATTTAATCTCAAAACTAATTTCTTCTTAAATTTTTATGATTACATAGCTTATCTGATTCTGTGAAGACTGGTTAAAGAACCAGATGCAACAATAAAATAAAAAGTAAGATTGTATTTATCACCTGTTGATGTGACTAAATGATAGTGATTACGTGACAACCAGCCAGAAATGACCAGAATAGTTCCAATGAATATGTAATGCTTGCTGAGTAAGTTATTTGCTATAGGAAAATCTCAGACAGATATCTGAATGGTTGCTGGAAAAAATTTGCTGTAAATTATGTCTACTTCAGAAATTTCTTGTAACTATTTCTGATTCTTCCAAATAGAAAACCAATAATAACAAATTGCAGGGGTTACCTCTTAGGCTCTATTCTGAGAATTTTGTATATATTATTTACTTAACTCTTACAATGCAGTGAGGTTGCTATAAAGATTAAGTCTGTAAAGTTCTTACAAAATCATAGAAATCTGGGTCTAGTATTAAGTTAAAAGATGTAGCTGACGGGGGGGGGGGGGGAATGGCGTAATTCCCTAGTCCTCTAAAAGTGCCAGTTAGACATTTCTATAGTGCTACAGAAGCCTTTGATTTTAAACAATTCACATCCTTAATGAAAGGCCCAGAAACTGCAATAAACCAAATTCTGTTGATTTTTTTGGCACTTTGAAATATTTACTTTTTTCCTAACATAAATAGGATTCAACTAAGCATATTTAACTGTTCAATTAAACCTGCCTTGCTTAAAACTGTTGTTTTGCATATTTAACCTCTGAGTCTGCTCTGCTCACACTGGCCATCTCCTTCAACCTGCCTGGAGGAGTTGTTCACATGTGGAAATCACCCTCTGGAAATTGGCTGAAGATGTTTGGAAGGTTGCACTTGTTGACATTCATCAAGATCTTGGTTCTGATTCATCTTACATTGATAAGAACCTCTATCCACAGAATATTTGTCAAAACCATGCTATGGGGTTATCAGTTACTTTGGTGACATGAAGCAGGGGATTTCAGTTACTATTCTAAGTTTTGTTGTTATTGTTGTTGTTGTTCTACCAAAATCATCAAAGGGCAAGCCTGCACTCATTCAAGGATACAGATATAAAATAATATTTTTGCGTGCCTGGTTTCTGTGGCATTCCATTACCTATAAATTCAAATGACCATGAGAGTTTATTTGCCCTGAATACACTTGTTTCCCAGCCTCCCATCTAGTATATGTGCCAGGCATTTCATTTCATAATGGCTTATTTTTACTGAGAATGGAATGAAAAACTGGGATGGCTTTGACAGACCTCCACTTTGAACATCCAAGTTTGTTGTATTTCTAATGTGAAATAGACGTGCAATGACCGGAATCTTCATTTTAACAAATGGTTAAATCTGAGAGTCTAACCCTCCTCTCTTTGCAAGACTCTGTCAAGATGCAAAACAATTAACACTTGCCCTTCAAGGACAATGATAAAAACTTTGCTTACTGATAAAAACAAATGTGTCCTTGGACAGGAGCAGCTAGTGACAGCAAATTCTTCCTATCTGGAGAGATAGGCAGTGGTGCTGTTCCTACTGGTCTTTTGGTATACTGTACCTACCACACTATCAGGTCAGAAGGAAATGGGAAAGTTCCAGGTTGGGTGTACATGAACAGAGAACACAGGCCAAGCAGTCCTGCCAATATACATAGAGTCATCTGAACACCCTTAGTACAAAGGCTTTATCATTTAGTACATGATAAAAATTGCATTTATTTCATTGTTTGATAATGCTTTTTAAAAAATGTTCCAATAAATGTTCCAGCAACTGCCTTAGACTAGGTTTCTGAGAAACAAACTTTGAATTAGAGGTTTTCTTGCAGGAAGTTTATTGTGGGGAGCTCTTGGAAACAATAACTGGGGATGAAGGAGGCCGGATGGGGCAGAGGGAGAAACTGAACTGCCATGCTGGTGCAGCCCTGGCCTCAGCAGATCCCCTGGGAGTCCTGGAGCTGGGGTGGTCTTGCAAGGTGGTGCTGAAATGAGGCAACTGGGTCAGGCCTTTCTATTTTACCACTAACTCTTCCCTACCTATGGACCCATTATAGGATGGAGGCTGCCCCCAGGGAGGGAGCATAACTAGGAAAAAGCAGCTTGTTTTAACCATGGCAATTTCTTGAAATGGACTGTACTGTAAGCTGTCAGCCTCCAACACTGACAGCGCTGCAGGAACTGTGCCACCATCCTGCAGGGGTATTAGGCAGCCTCAATATTCACAACAATAACAATGGGAAGAGAGGAAGGAAGAAAGTTGGCACATGAAAATTTCAATATAAAGTTTCCATATTTAAAAGAATTTTTGAAATTATAATTTGCACATAATGTCTGTGAACATTTACTGTCTATTATTTGGTCCAGAGTGATATCATTGACTAATGAAAGCCAGAAGACACAAATCTGCTAAAAATGTATTAAGTAGTTATTTTAAGAAGACTCTGCCTAAGAAAACACAGGCTACTATAGAAGTTCAATTTGTGTCATTTTTTAAAGCTTGACTTTGAATTTTTCTAAAATAATTTTGTTCATTTTGATCTAACTTGAACTGGTTTGCTCAGAAAGTAGCAATGAATATAAATATTTACATTTGTTCAAACATTTTATTACTGAATATGATTTAGGGAGCTGGAATGAAGGATGGGAAGAGCAAAGAAGGAAAATAAAGTGGGTCAACACAGAGAAGTGTAATCAGCTCTGTATAGTGGCACATGCCTATAATCCCAGTGGCTCTGGAGACAGACAGGAGGAACACAAGTTCAAAGCCAGCCTCAGCAACTTAGTAAGGTTCTAATAAACTCAGTAAGACCCTGTCTCTAAATAAAATATTTTTACAAAGGGCTGGGGATGTGGCTCAGCAGTTAAGTCCCCCTGGATCCAATCCTTGGTACCAAAAAAAAAAAAGAAGAGTTATCAAAGTTGGCCACCTCTTCATGTGATTCATTATTCCATCCCATGGGCCTGTCTGAAAAGCCACATTAACCACATCTCCATAGTCCTTCTAATGAAGAAAGGGGTAGTGTTTAACACTTGGCCCCTGTTCCCTCTTGGTTTCCTCTCATGTTCATTATCTCCTTTTACTCCTAAGCTGTTCATGCATGCCAAACGTCCTGAACAGGTGTCCTCAGAGCCGCTTTGGGACAGAAGGTAGAAACCCTAATCTGAAGATTCAGTGTCGAGATGAGACAAGATGCTGAAAAAAATGAACAGGTATCCAATAGATTTATTTTTTTCTTATGCTTTTACAAGAAATACACAGCAAAAGTTGTTATTGTGTTGATTCCATTAGCAGAAAGAGAACTTTGCAAATGGTTATCTGATGCCTGATTTATGTATCAGATGTTTCAAAGAGAATCCCAACTATATTCTTTTCAGTAGTGTCTGTACTTTTTAATTCAATTCATGAAAACAGTAAAATATTTGAAGGTTAATTTTTAAATTCAATTCACAAAAAGAAGAAAATATTTGAAAGTTCATTTGGTCAAAGGCAAATCATCTGCCATTATTGTGACTGTATTAGAAATTCAGCTAAAATAGTCATCACTGAAGATAAAATTATTTGTTTTTGGTAATAATGCAAATATGAATTTCTGTGGGGTACAGTGCTGGGTAGAAACAATGTGTGTATTAAATTGAGAAACTTAAGATGCAGAAAATTACTTGAAATTGGTTATGGTACACATATAATTTGTATTTGCATTTGTGATATTGTTCATGACCAACAGGTTATCAAACCAAATCAAATTGGGTTTTCCAAATTTGTAAAGAAAAAAAATTTGAGCTATTACTCTTACTGATTTTTTTTAAACCTTTATTTATTTATTTTTATGTGGTGCTGAGGATTGAACCCAGTACCTCACACGTGAGAGGCAAGTGCTCTAACACTGAGCTACAACCACAGCCCCTACTCTACCTTATTTAAAGACTTGCCATGAACCTGAATCAACTGGACAGTGCAGATTTGGTATAAGCGTGGACATGTAGGTCCAAGGAGTAAAATATGTAGACAGTAATAGATCCACACATACGTTGCCAGAAAATTTTAACAAAGGTATCAAGGTAATCCAATGGGGAAAGACAGTTTCCCACACACAAAAAAACGGAACTTTTCCTGGGCTGGGGCTGGGACTCAGTGGTAGAGCGTTCACCTAGCACGTGTGAGGTGCTGGGATCAGCACCACATAAAGATAAAAAAGAAAGATATTGGGTCCAGCTACTACAAACACAAAATATATTTTTAATGGAGCTTTTCCAAGTAAATATTCATATGGAAAAAGAGGCTATCATCCATTATCACAAACCATACATAAAAATTAATCATAATTATGATGAAAATGAATTATACACCTAGATGTCAAATCTAAAAAATAAATCATCTTAACAAAAACACAAAAGGAAATGTGACTTTGGGAAACTAAGATATCCTAAGTAGGACATAAAAAGGACAAAACATAAAATAAAAAATGGAAACATTTGATTTTGCTAAAATTTATAACTTCCATTCTTACAAAGTAACCATTAAAATAAAGAAAAAGCAAACCCCTGCTGGGAGACATTATTCACAATACACATGTAAGACAAGGGACCGGTATCTAAAATATACAAAGGGCATTTGCAACTCAATAGTAAGACAAAAATCCAATATAAAACCAGCAAGATTTGAGCAGGAATTTCACTAAAGAAGGTATGTGACTAATCAACAAGCATAAGAAAGAATTCACTATCTTTAGTCATCAAGGAAAAATGAAAAACACAACACAACATTTTAAAATTAAAAAGTGCTGCACATCTATTAAATAAAGTTAGAATGACTCACGATACAATGAGTGTGATTAGAACTCTCATACACTGTTGGTGGGAGTATAAAATAGCACACTTTGGAAGACAATTTGGCAGTTTCTTATAAACATTTACTTTTCATTCAACCCAGCAATTCTGCTCCTACATATTGTTCAAGAGAAATTATAATGTACATCCACACAAAGTCTTATATGTGAGTATTCACAGTAACTTTATTCATAATCACTGAAAAACTAGCAAATGAGTCAATAAACTATAATATATCCATACGATGAAATATAACTCAGCAATAAAAAAAGAACAAACTACTACTGAAATGAGCAACTACATAAAAGAATTTCTAAATGTTACAGTGAGTGAAAAAGCCCATCCAAAAGACTACACACTTTATAATTCTATTTACATGAAGTTCTAGAACAGACAAAACTTATATGTAGAAGGAGGAAGCCAGGCCAGGCTTCTGGAGGGACCAGGTGCATGGGAGGATGAGATTGACGGCACAGGGCTGTGCAGGAACTTTCTGTGAGGCATGTGCTCTAAAGCTCAGCAGTGTTGGCAGTCATGGATATAGACTATATGTCAAAACTCATCACTCTTAAAATGAATGATTTTATTGCAGGTAAATTATGTATCAGTGAAGTTTTATTAGTGAATATGATTTGGGGAGCTTATTTAAAAGATATTTTCTAATTTTTTTGCACTAAAACATTTATAAGTTTAATTTAAAACCAGAATTGTTAGTATATTTCATTTAGTATAACTGACAGGCGCATCTGCATTTTAGATGTTTTGATAAAAGTATAGTCTATGAAAATCAATTAAAATATCAACATTTCAAACTTTCAAATGCAACTCTGAAGAACAATTTTATGGCAAATTTATAGGATTAAAGACAGATCCACCCTAGAAACTGACCCAACTATGTGAACAGGTACCAATGATTACTGTTCTGATTATAATATTGCAAATGTTCAGATGATCAACCTTCTTTTTTAATTGAATTTATTATTTTTTTAAATACATGACAACAGTGGAATGCATTACAATCCTTATTACACATATAGAGCACAGTTTTCATATCTCATATATAAAGTTTGTTCATGCCAATTTATACCATTATACATGTACTTTTTTGCATTAGAATTCTTATTACACATATATACCACGATTTTTCATATCTCTGTTTGTATATAAGGTATGTTGACACCCAATTCAAGTCTTCATATGTACTTTGTATAATGATGACCATCACATTTCACCATCCTTGCTAATCCCCTTTCCCTTCCCTTTCCCTCCCACCCCTCTTCCCTATCTAGAATTAATCTAATCCTCCCAAGCTCTCCCTCCCTACCCCACTATGAGTCACCCCTCTTATATCAGAGAAAACATTCAGCATTTGTTTATTTGGGATTGGCTGACTTCACTTAGCATTATCTTCTCTAATGTCATCCATTCACCTGCAAATGCCATGATTTTGTTCTTTTTTAATGCTGAGTAATATTCCATTGTGTATAAATGCCACATTTTTTTTATCCATTCATCTGCTGAAGGACATCTAGGTTGACTCCACAGTTTATCTATTGTGAATTGTGCTGCTATGATCAATCTTCTTTAAGGTATAAAATTTTTGCTCCAATGTCCCCAGATGTCTGTATAGCTACAGAAGGATACTTTTCAGTATTTTAAAATAATTTTACTTTGAAAATAGTTTTTAAATAGAAATTTTTAGAAGATTTAACAATATCATAAAATGTTAGTCATTAATTATTTCAAAAGCATAGTTTTAATTATTTTTTGTCCCTTTTCACTTTCTAATGTGTTCTGATAAGGATGATAAATCATATGGTCCCCTTACCTTTATATGCATTTCCACTTTCTGTGTGATATCCATTCTGTCCCCTGTCAAATGGAACTACTCACTTTTCCACACCCAGGTTTCACATATTTTTACCTCTTTGAGGAAAAATTCACATTTATCCCCATCCTCAATCCCATCCCGTTTTCACACACCCCTTCCCCAGGCCTGCTGTCTCCTCCATGGAGCCCTTCTCTAGCCAGATCTGTTCTTCCACCACTTTCATTCTCTTGGGTGATTTGTCACATTTTTAATCTATATTTCTTAAGTGTTTGTTTTATTTCCTCTTCTTACCTCCAAATGTTTTAAAGCCAGAGAGAGCATCTTATCCTCATGTCACCCACAATTCGTAGCACAATGCATGGCTCATACTCACTAAACACTGGCTAAACAAACTAACATAGGAAAGGACTCATGAAGCAATGAGTGAAAGAGTGAGTGAGTGAATAAAGTCTCTATTTAGCACTGGTGCTGAGTACAGTTCCCATTGCAGTTGATTTATTGACACATATGTCTCGATTCTTATACTTCTCTCCCGTGTCCCCTGCAGGCTATGAAATTTGGATTTTCCTTATGTGAAACATGCTGACTGAAAAATACGGTGAAAAATCACATGACACGAAATAATTTTGAAAAGCAAGGATGGGACCAAATCAGGACAAATCTGAGACCTTAGGGGTCCTGCTTCCACGCTGGAATGAGAGAGAGTGAGAACCCACATTTTCATTCTTTCTATGAGGGGTCTTCAAAAGGATTTTGATGGAATGTTCTTTTGCCAAATAAGGTAGGAGGTGGGCTGTCCAAGCCTAACGGGTAAAGCCCAAGTTCAGAGCTGCCGGAGCTGTCTCATTGGTGGAGGGCAGCGATCTCACACCTTGGGCAGTTTATACATAGGAATGCAAGGATCTTCCCAAGGGGAAACCCAAGTCTCCATGGCTCAGTACTGAGTAAAAGACCACTCAGGTAGTGTCACAGGTGGCGTACCACACACATGGAGTAGAGAAATAAATTTTGAAGTCCTCTTTAAGGACTTAGATTTGTGATCATTTTAGGTTAAGGTCTGTGTGCATGAAGTAAAAATTGTTTTTCACTTTTCTGATTTCTCATGGTTTCAAATACTTATAGAAGTCACATAAAAAATGCTTTTAATATTCTACAAAGTGAAGAAGGAAGTTCCCAAGATCCCTGATTCGGAGGTCTTGATCCATAGCTTCTCCGCCAGGACAGTGCATTCCAGCCAGGAGGCAGGGCTCCAGCAGCAGCCTAGGTATTGACGTGGGATGCCCATTGTTTGCAGATCCTGCCTCCAAGGTTCTTCCATGAGGAAGAACCAGGATTTTATCTGATCTTAATTCTAGCTGAGCTAGGGTACCCCAGACTGCTTGGTTCAGTGCGTGTCCTCCATAATGTATAGCCCGTTGCTTCGCACATAGTGCACACTCATGACTCCAAAATAGTTCACTCAATCAGCAAATGAGTGAACCATCTAATCATGACATAAAGCAGGAAGGGCTGCCCTTTTGTCCAGAATTGTGAAACTGTGGGTATTCCAGGAATGTGGGAGTGCTGCCTGCTCAGCCTCACAGCTTCCTAATTTTAGAGGTGGCATTTAGCTTCAATGACACAGCCACCAATAAGCACTACACTTTCATACACTCTGCTCTAATGCCAAAACCGATGACTTAATTGGCTGGGGATATGGCTCAGTGGTAGAGCACTTTCCTGGCATGCTTGAAGCTCTGGGTTCAATCCCAACACTGCAAAAAAACAAACACCATCACCACCAAACTCCTCAATCAACAAACATTTATCAGGCACTAAAAGGATATCTATGCAACATTCTCATGAATCTTAATGAATTGAGGGGCACTGTTCTTGCTCTTTAAAAACTCTAAATCTTTTTGGATGCAATATTGAAATAAACACAAGACAAAAGAAATAATGCAAAACTCTATAGATAACACAATATCAAATTGTGTGGCTCAGAAAAATAAGGTCTGAGTTCAGAGAAGAAATGGAGTGAGCAAAAGAAAGTTTTGCCATGGTGGTGGCTGGTGTTTATTTGTCTACAAATATTGTGCAGCAGGTTGTTTCTGAGAACATATTCCTTATTCTAGGCTTAGCAGTGCTTGCAAGCCAACATTGGTTTCCTGAGTGCCGCCATCTTTCTGACACTAAGGGTGGGGAATGAGCTCCAGGAAAGTGGGAGTACCAGGATGGAACTGGCAGAGGATTTACGTAGGTGTGGAGCCAGACCAAAAGAAGATGGAAGTGGAGGCTGGACAGAGTGGAAATGAAAAGACATTAGGAATGGGAGAGGTGATAATCACAAGTCAGGAAGCTCTGGCAGGTCAGGAGAGAAGTAGAAGCTCACGGGAGTAGTTCTGGACTATGAACCTTGTAGGGATGCTGGAAGCCCAAGGTGGTCAAGGAGGGAGAGAGAAGGCAGGTGTCAGAATGCAAAGGGACTATAATAAGTTGGACTGAGGGCAGAGAACTTCATTTAAACAACTACCAGTTAAACATTAAACAATCTTGGGCTGAGATTGTGGCTCAATGGTAGAGCATTCACCTAGTATGTGTGAGGCCATGGGTTTGATCCTCAGCACCGCATAAAAATAAATAAATAAAATAAATGTATTGTGTCCAATTACAACTAAAAAATAAATATTAAAAAAATAGACAAGCTATGAAATCCAGAAATGAATTTTGATCTAATTACTGCCTTGGAGAGACTTAGTAGGAGTGCAAAATTTTCAGTTCTGCCATCATTGGCATCATTTATACCTAACTGTAGAGGACTTGATATTGAGGATAAAACTTACTTAGACTAATTTGTGATTTTTGTTCACCATACACCAGTGTCACTGGCCTGTTTCCTTTTGTGTGTGTGTGTGTGTGTGTGTGTGTGTGTGTGTGTGTGTGTGTCTGTGTATGTGCATATAAAGCATATCTGTAACTCTGGACATTTGCACATGCTATCTCTTCTCCAGAGAATTCTTTTATGGATCTTCAAATGTCCCCTCCACAGACCACCCCAGCTAACGCTGGTACTCCTCCACCCCCCTGCTTGGCAGAATTTCTACTAGACACCACGAGGGTGGATTCAACTTATGATAGGACCACACTGCCTAAAGAGACTTGTCCACATTCTGAGGAAGCTGCTCAGTAGTGACATGTGTCCTATGCTTGATGACAGCAGAGGACAGGCTTGAAAATTTAGAGAAGCCAGAAAAATCCAAAGACTATCAAGCCAGCAAGGGCCACTTACACTTCAGCTTTTTCTGAACTAGTTAGGATAAACAGAAAAAGGGGAAAAAAGGGAAAAGAAAACAGAATGCAGTTAGTTTCATAATACCTTAATGCCTCTTTGTCTACTGAGAGTATAGAATCTATAAAAACTTGGTCATTTTTTAATGGAAATTATTATTTTTATGAGGTACTAAGGATTGAACCCAGGGCCTCACACACATTAGGCGAGCACTCTGCTGCTGAGCCACAACTCCCAGCCCCAAAAGCTTGGTCATTTTTAACACATTGTAAAGTTAGTAGGTTTGGCTGCAAAAAGTAATCACAGCCAAATAATCATCATGAGTTCTTAAAGAAGTGAGAACATGAATAATATAAATCAAGAATAACAGTATGACAGCAGGTGCTCTTCTAATTAAGTCTTTCTTACACCTGGTATGAAAATGGAAAAAAGTTCAGTTCACAGTTTCAAGAGGCCTTGGAAAGGCACATAGGCATCCACCACAAGAAACCAAGATAGAGGTCTAGAATTTGGAACTGGGATGACCCTGTAAATAAATGAGCAGAGACTTTCAGTCACTGACTCCACAATATACATACAACTCTGATTTTTATCACTTCTGTGAATCTTATGACTTTTGTGAAATAACACACTGAGATTTCTGAAACCCATACTAGAACAAAATGATCTAAT